CAGTCTCTCGCTGCTGAACCAATCATTCTGTTAATGATGATTTAATATGTCACTTGTTAATTCCCTGAAGTACAATATATTGTTGAATTGATACCCATTATTAATTAGCCAGTTAAAAATCAATATTTAAAGTGTTATTTTATTCAAAATTTTAAGTTGCTCAATAGTTTCAAACTGTATTTGTTTAACTGTTTACTGGATAATCATTGTTTTTAACCTCTTTTGTAGATACCAGACTCATTCTCTCTGGAAGGCAAGTGACTATATCTTCTCTTAGAGTGGTATTTTCAGAAATTTAGTTCATCTTGTATAAATCTGTTTTCTTTCAGTTAGGCACTACAATTTGCTTACTTAGGCTTATGAAGACTATATGATATTTTGCTCTCCCAAAGGCAAACACATGGGGTAAGGCGGGGCTCAATTGAGACTTTTTTTATTTGACTAAATATGAATGTAATAAAAATGTATTTAGTCAAATAAAAATGTGTAATGTGGAACACCTGCTGTAAAGGTCTTAAGGTAATCAAACAAATTTATACTTTATATTTATAAGTAAGTATTCATATATAAAATAAAGACATGGAAGTTTTAAATAAATTTTAGAATTCTCTCCCCTCATCTCAAAATATCATCTGATATTCTCACTTTAGATCCCGTCATTCTGAAGTATTCTGATGATTTTTACCCAAGTGTCCCATGGATTATTGGCTAAATAATCATTATTATTCATTAAATCCTATTTCTAGTTCTTTGGTGGGAATATTATATATTTGGTATCATTTTCTGTAGAAAGAATGGAGGGGAAGAATGACACACAATAATGGGACTAGCTTTCCTGTTAAGCCACAAACCTACAAATACGATTCACAGCCACACCAAAACCTAGCATTATTTTTGATTTTAGCATTCAAACAAAACCATTTTTTGAAAGAATCATAAGCTGAGGAAATCCTCAGATAGAATCTTAGGAGGGAAAAGAGGATTGAGATGTGTGGTTTGTGCAATAATCATTTGGCTGCTTCAACTGCTTCTATCAAACACAAAAGCTATATTATTTTCAATTATCTGTAATAGAACTGTTTTTCTAAGAGGCTTAAAAAATCTACCTTTAAAAGATTAGACCTCCCTCACCAACACCTATTTGGGAGCATTTTACTTTCAATATTAAAGTAATCAATAGTTTCTGTTCTGTTAAATAACAAGCAATCGTAAATAACTGAACTTTGGTCCTATCAGTATAATGACAGCGATGAGAGATAGTATCTATCTTGCATGTATTGAACGTATTGCTCTATGAGATCTTCAAACACTTTTGTGTGACTATGTAATCCATTGAAAACTGCTATCCATTACTGAACAAATATCAATTATAAGCATAATTTATCTTAAAATATTATTTGCTTCAAAGTGTACAAGTGAACTTTGATGATATACTTGTTCATCTTACTTTTAGTTTTTCTCTACTTTGTGTATTTTCTCAGGGGCTGGGCACTCATTCCTGTCTCCTGCTTCTTTATTGTTGTTTCTTGTAATTTCTCAATCCTCAGACACATTTCTAGAAGAAAATTATGTGGTACTCTGGGTGCTGGTGTCATATTTACAGATATCTCAAGGTACTCATTTCCATTATGTGACTGACAGTCTAGGAATAATGGAGCTTGTTGGTGTGCAATTATGCATAATCAGTATACATTTAATAAATAGAAATTCCCTCTAGAGTTAGAAACAGCATAACTCAGAGAAAGAATAACTGTTAATTTTAGATTAGAAGTTTAGTATTTATAATCCTGTCAAAATCAATATATTTTTAATAAACAGGGATTAACTTTAGGGGAGAGAATTTGAATTTAGGCTCTATCGAGTAGTATCAAATTACTTACATGTACTTATCTTGGAGATATTAATTGAACTATTTGAACTACTGGAATGTAACAATGATTAAATATTGATGGAACAACCTTATGTGATATAGTTCTGTTGATAAATATTCTTCAGTAAAAACAAGTTTCAACTACATGCAATCCTTTGTAAAGAATATAAAAGTGATTCTTGGAACTGGAAAGCTGTCTCAGTGATTAGGAATATTTACTGTTCTGCAGAGGACCCTCCCTAGTTTGGTTCCCATAACCCATATCAAAAGCTCACCACTCCCTGTAACTCCACTTCCTGCAATAAAAGGATCTCTGAGCTCAATGGGCATCTACATGCACATGGTGTGCATAAACACTCACATAGTCACATACAAACACACAAAAATAAATAAATCTTTAAAAGTAATTCTCTCCTTGCCGAAGTGTAATTAAGTATGCAATTTAGTGCTCTAGGATAATAAACTTCATACCCCGATACTGATAAAACATTATCAAAATAATGATTTTTGTTTCTTTCTCACAATCTTTTCTTTTGTTTAAACAAGCACAAACATATGTCTTTCAAAATGGAACATTTAAGATAAAAAGAAGAGCTATTAGCCATCTAGGTGGATGAAGAATTATAAGTAAACCAGAATTGTCCAAAGTAAACATTTTCTAAAATAATCTACCCTGACAGGCTGACTATGGTAGTATATTTGATAGGGAAGCATTTGATAGGCAAAGTCAGACAGACCTCTTTGAGTTCCTAACCAGCTTAGTTCTACAAGTGACTTACAGGCCAGCCAATGTCACATAGTGAGATTCCACCCAAAAACAAATAAACAAAAAACACACAAAGGAGAAGGAAGCTAACTGTTAAATCAAACCATTGCCACTTGCTAAGTCTGCCTTGATTCTAGTGCACTTATTTGAGACTGGAGAGATGGTTTAGCAGTTAATAGCACTTGTCCTCTTCTGAGTTACCCGCAACTGATTCTCAGCATTTACATGGCTGCTCACAAATACCTGTGACTGCAGTTTCAGAGTTCTGAAGCCTTCCTCTGGCCTCCGCCGGTTACTGCATATATGCAGTCCATGTAAATTCATAGAGATTTGCAAACACACATGCAAATAAAAGTAAACGGTTAGGAAAAACCAATCACTTCTTTACATGTGCATATCTGTCTTTAGTTCCTTTTTTAATAAATGAATAAAACTAAATTGAGTCTATTTTTATCAGATAATTATATATATGTAGATAATTATATTATATATGTAGATAATTTATATATCTGATCACCATTCCTTTCTGTTGGTGGCCAGATTCCATGCCAAGCCTAGACCTCTAGCTTCCTTTCTAAATATCAAATAAATGTTTATACTTTGCCTGATGGTTCAACAGCTGAAGTATATTTATTTACACAAAGAACATTCATTAAATATAGTATGTAGTGAAATCCATGTCTTCCTATATTTCTTTCTATATTTAGAAATAATTTTATTTACTGACTTATTTTGAAGTTTTAGTGTTGGCACAGTTGCATGAAGATATTATTACTGTATCAAAAAATCAATATTTTAAAATGTGTTATAGATACTAAAATACAGAAGTACTATATCATAAAAACAATAGAAGTAAATCATTTTAATAATTAACATCATGTTTATATAAAAACAGGCCTTAACTACAATAAACTATTATTTCTGTCACAGTCTGCTTTTCCCATTCATGTTGGGGACCACAGACCACCAGACCCTGAATTTCCTGTAAACAACTTATTTTCCTCTGTTCTGAGCAGCCTGCAGCTGCTCTGAGCATAAGACCCTGATGGCAGGGGAGTGGATTCTGATGACTCTGAAGCCAAAAGATCCTGAGAGCTGGGGCATGGCCAGAGCCCTCTATAAGCTGCCCCTGAGCACAATAAAGTGGCCATTCTTGGCATTCTTGTCTCAAGGATGACCATGTCCCCATGGCCCTGTCTGTCTGTCTGTCTCTCTGTGTCTAAATCTTCAGCCTAGTTCCCATAGCATATAGCGAGTAGAGCACAGAACAGAGACAGTGGAGTTTTATACATTCAGACCACTTTTCAGAATCCATTTTATTCTCTCTTTCCATTAGAGAAATTCAGTAATTAATCTCCAAAATCTTTTTTCTTTACACTGTATCTGTGCATTATAAAATACACTTTCTTTTTTTTCTTTCTTTCTTTTTTTTCTTTTTTCTTTTTTTGGTTTTTCGAGACAGGGTTTCTCTGTGGTTTTGGAGCCTGTCCTGGAACTAGCTCTGTAGACCATGCTGGTCTCGAACTCACAGAGATACATACACCTGCCTCTGCCTCCCGAGTGCTGGGATTAAAGGCGTGTGCCACCATCGCCCGGCCTAAAATACACTTTCATGGATTTAAAAATCACCTAGTGATAAACCTGGAATATCAAATTATGTCTTCAGTTGATATCTGGAAATTATTAGGACCCACAATTGTATTTATCTATTCTGTGTGTATGCTTTGTTTTCACCTGTTTTCTATTCTCTGGTAAGAGTAACTGCTTCCTTTTACTACTGAAATTAAAAACTTTGCCAATAACCCTGACTCCTGTTTTGATTTCATCCCATATTTCTGTCCAATCCTGCCTTCTGTATCTTTGTTTTTTGTCACCACAAGTCAAAAGTAGAAATCATCCATTACCCATTAACTACTAAAAGGATAAACTAGGTACAGTGTATACAAGCAATGAAGTATCATTCGTTCATAAGAATGGTCAAAGTACCGAAACAAGCTATAACATGGATGAACTCTAAAACAGCAATCTTTGAGAAAAAAGCCAGACACAAACTAAATGATTAAAACAAACAAATAAGAAGCCACTAACCTGAGGCTGTCTCTCTGTTTGGACATTCTTTGTAAAATACCAAATTCTAATCTTAGAGTTCATTTTTACATTAAGTAGCCAACTTTCATTCAAGGACAGAGAAGCAAACCAGATATCAACAGATAACCAATCACATGCCTACTGGACCCAATTACGTGTATCGTTTTATTATTTTACTTATTGTTTGCTCTGGCCCTCAGTAACAATGATCTATGAGATCACCGTTGTCTACTACTGTAGACAGTAGCTAGCACAAAATAAGTAACCAGGGCTCTCACAGCCATTGCAGTACATTGAGCTCCATAGAGACAGCGCCGGGGCAAGCGAGAGCCGGACGGGCACTGGGCGACTCTGTGCCTCGCGGACGAAAATCAACTAAACATGGGCAAAGGAGATCCTAAGAAGCCGAGAGGCAAAATGTCCTCGTATGCATTCTTTGTGCAAACCTGCCGGGAGGAACACAAGAAGAAGCACCCGGATGCTTCTGTCAACTTCTCAGAGTTCTCCAAGAAGTGCTCAGAAAGGTGGAAGACCATGTCTGCTAAAGAAAAGGGGAAATGTGAAGACATGGCCAAGGCTGACAAGGCTCGTTATGAAAGAGAAATGAAAACCTACATCCCCCCCAAAGGGGAGACCAAAAAGAAGTTCAAGGACCCCAATGCACCCAAGAGGCCTCCTTCGGCCTTCTTCTTGTTCTGTTCTGAGTATTGCCCCAAAATCAAAGGAGAACACCCTGGCTTATCCATTGGTGATGTTGCAAAGAAACTGGGAGAGATGTGGAACAACACTGCTGCAGATAACAAGCAGCCCTATGAAAAGAAGGCTGCCAAGCTGAAGGAGAAGTACGAAAAGGATATTGCTGCTTACAGAGCTAAAGGAAAACCCGATGCAGCGAAAAAGGGGGTGGTCAAGGCGGAAAAGAGCAAGAAAAAGAAGGAAGAGGAAGATGATGAGGAAGACGAAGAGGATGAAGAGGAGGAGGAAGAAGAGGAAGATGAAGATGAGGAAGAAGATGATGATGATGAATAAGTTGATTCTAGCGCAGTTTTTTTTCTTGTCTATAAAGCATTTAACCCCCCTGTACACAACTCACTCCTTTTAAAGAAAAAAATTGAAATGTAAGGCTGTGTAAGATTTGTTTTTAAACTGTACAGTGTCTTTTTTTGTATAGTTAACACACTACCGAATGTGTCTTTAGATAGCCCTGTCCTAGTGGTATTTTCAATAGCCACTAACCTTGCCTGGTACAGTCTGGGGGTTGTAAATTGGCATGGAAATTTAAAGCAGGTTCTTGTTGGTGCACAGCACAAATTAGTTATATATGGGGACGGTAGGGTTTTTTTTTGTTCGTTTTTTTGTTTTTTTTTTTCATCTTCAGTTGTCTCTGATGCAGCTTATACGAAGATAATTGTTGTTCTGTTAACTGAATACCACTCTGTAATTGCAAAAAAAATTGCAGCTGTTTTGTTGACATTCTGAATGCTTCTAAGTAAATACAATTTTTTTTTATTAAAAAAAAATAAGTAACCAGTTAGTATTGCTTAATATCAGTGATTGGGTTTGTGAGACTTTAAAATAGATTACAGCAATGGCTAGAACCATTTAAGATTGGACTCAATGAGAATAAAATTTAGGTAATTTTTCTACACCTACAATGCAAACCACATGACTTTTACTGCTAATTAAAATTAATCTGTAGGTTTTAAAAAGTTAATTGTAAGTTCTACCAAATACAACCTACAGTCATTCGTTTGGAGAGACAATCCCTCTTCTCCCCACCCCCTGTGCTCAACAACACTGTTTCTAAGGCTGTCTCAACAGAACAGAACCCAGTGTGGTGTATTTATTTGACACTCCTTTCCAATGTTTATTAGGCTCATTAATTATACTGACTTATTTTCCTAAACAAAAAAGTAAGAACAATAACAAGGCCAGACATGATCAAAATTATTCTACAGAAAATCAGATTAAACTATAATAATATAGATAATAAATGTCAAATTATGGACATTAGAATAAGCGTAAGATTTTAAAAAGCTTCTGAAATATTTTCTAAAATTATGAATAACTCGGCATTGAGACAGATTATGCTGAAGGATTTTTAATATAAAAAGTGATATTAATTAAGAGTGTAAATGGCCCCAAAGTAAACAATGTGTAACTGACCTCTTGCACTGGGAATAAAAAGAACATTTAAACCTCATTTCTTCCCAGATGAAGAATGACCCACATTTTCAAATTTCTAAATTATCATACATATTTTATAAAGGACTGGTCTGAGAAATTCAAATACCATAAGCATAACAGATGGCTGTGGCTTTTTCCATAGTAAATTTTATTTAAAATTGAATAGAATAGCATTCTGAGTATTATAAGCTAAGCACAATCATCTCACATCACCACAGAATGGGGATACTGACCAAAACCGACAAATAATAGAAGTCTCATTTGTGCCATATCTGTAAACTACTGCTTCATCAAACCCTGCAACGAGCTAGGCTATAGAAGAAATATGATATTCTTTCTTCCCTCCAAGGGACATGATACTAAAATAAAACCTTACAAAAAGAGAAACAGAGAACTCATATCATCTAGAGAATGAGTGATTGAATGTGGAGGCCGGCCGCCTGCTGGGACTGTGGGTGCTCATTTGTGATTCCCTCGGCCTCATTTTGGTGACCACACTTCTGCGGTGGGGATATAAATGTGCCTGAGTATTTCCAATAAAGCTAGTTATTAGCCTTCAGAGAAGCATGACAAGGGCAATAGATTTTGTTCTTAGATTATGTTCTTCAATGAAACCAGAGCTAAAGGGTTTGGCTTTTTTTAAAAAAAAAAAAATGTGTCCTGAATGTTCTCTAGTCAATATATTAAAATCTGGAAATATAATTATTCATTCTACACTGGTTACGTTCATCTGAATGGAAATTTATTCTCTCAGTAACTAAGTAGGGCCTTATAAAATTGGCAATGCAATGATTGCTACATAATCTATATTCTATTTTTTTCATAACACATAAAAACTTACTTGTAGCTGAGGGACTGAGGCAGAGAAAGCAGAAAGGCAGATGATCAGAATTTAGATCATTCTTTATCAATTATTTCAGAGATTTAGACTTTTCAGATGAAACAAAAATGGAAAACAAAATCCCCTCATCCAGCTTTCTTTCACTTTTGGGATGAGCATTATTTCTTAAAACAAGGTTAACAAGAGGTCTCATCCCCTCTTTGCTATCAATAAAGCACTTTTTTTTGCTAGCATTCAGAAGTCAAACCAAGGCAAGAGTGAGCAAATGATGAGCACATCATTTGAGGAAAACTTTCTGTTCCTGTAATGTCTTTGACAAACAGTTAAAGCAGCTGATGTTTTATCTATTAGCCTGTAACTCCTGTTCAGTAGTGCAACACATATTCTGTCCTTTGTGTTCAAATGCATGTGCACACATGCACACACAGATACATAATAAATACCTCAAAACACACAACTAAGAAAGAAAGCTTGTTTGTGAGTCTCCAAAATAGAAGCAGAAAATAAGATTTATCATTGGCATCAACGATACAGCAGAGATAGTCATAGAATCTCATGTCCTGAGAGAACTCACAAGGAAAGAACATTGTGGTCCCCTGCGCATGTTCCCTAGGTCCGAAACTGAGTGTAGTCTTCCACTATTTTTATTGGAAGCTCAGCACAACATAGCCCCTATTAATTACACACCCTGCCTCCTGAATAAATGGCCCTGGAGCATGAAAGCTAGTGTGCTTCCTTTGCTTACATATCTTTTACTGAAGAAGAAATTCAAATAAAAAGTAATAACTAGAATGTGTGGAATTTAGATACTGATATATTCAATGCATTGTTTCATTAAAATATTTCTAATTTTTAAAGACTTATATTTTTCCTAATTTAATATATTTTCTGTTGCTGTAACAAGGTAATTATGCCAGATATTTCGTGTAGAGAAGAGGTTTATCCAGTTCACAGACATGGAGGTTCAGGAACACAGCAATGGTAAAGGATGATTTAGATGCTAGTATTGTGGTAGATGGATGATCAGAGGAGGGACAACAGGCTAGAACAATCATATGGTGAGATGGGAAATTTCAGAGTAGGGAGAGGCCTATTTTGCTTCTTTACAACAGGTCATATTTTCAGGAACTAAGTCATTCTAGTAGGTTTTCCTTAACCATATCTAAGGAAAAAGCCCCCATAATCTCGTTACTTTGCATCAAACCTCACCTGTCAGGACATCTGCTAATTCCCTAATATTGCTACAGAGGAATGAGTTTCTAAATATGAATATTTGGGCTCCCATACAAACCATATTTAAATCACTATGTGTCTCATGCTTTCTCCTCTGTGCTGCCTTCAAAATGTATAGAATTTATATTTGTTAAATTGCTTGGCTATCAGTCCATAGTAATTACCTACAGAATGTCATCAAAAACCCATCTGTATTTCTCAAATTTTTATTTTTATTTGAGATTAGAAGAAAAAATCTGTAATCCTTTAGGATTACATATAAACCCTATTTTATTTGTGCGAGAGAATGGCTTAATTGTTAATAGTATCCAGATTATGATTTTAATTGTTCCACAAAAGTTCATTTGTTGGAAGTTTGTTTTTTATGTAGCAATGAATACTTATTAGGACTGGTAGAATGTGGAACCCTGTGGACTATTTACTAAGAACAGTGTTCATGGGAAGGATTTAGGTGTTTAAGATAGGGACCTTGAGTTAATTCTCATGAAAGCATGCTGATACAAAGACCCCAGTTTAGCTCTGTGTGGTGATGAAATCTTCCCCTTCCATTTGATAGAGTCACACCTTCGAATACTGATATTTTTGTCAGAACTGAGCTGATGCCAAGGCCATATCACAAGCTGCAAGAACTGTGTAATAATCGTAATTTTTCCTAACAAATTTTTGCACCCTCTGCTATTTTATTATGCTAACACTAAACTGGCTGATATATTATGAGCACTACTAACCATGTGATGGTTAATGTTAATTGTCATCTTGATGAAATCACCTAGGAAATGTGTCTCTGGGAATGCTTGTTGAGTTTATCTTGATTGCATTAATTGAATTGGGAATACCCGTTTACTGTAGGTGTGCATTTTGTAGGAAAGCAATCCTGAGCTCTATAAAAGGAAAAAGTGGGTCAAACACTGAGCATCCTGTTTCCTGATCATAGATATGTTACAACAAACTGTTTCCAACATGATATTCACACCATGACAAGGCCTTGACTTCTCTGCCAGGATGGAACATGCTCTTCCTTCAAATTTCCTTTGTCAGATTATTTTATCACAGCAATAGGAAAAGAAATGGAGACAAAGCCAACATCCGTACTTCGGTTTCTGCATGAGCAATATAGAGATGATGAGACCCTAACTCATGAGAGAGTTATGTTGATTATATCAAATGACTTTTATAAAACAGTTTCACATGCTTGATAAACTATAAATGTCTCTGCCCTCTTGTGTATTTTTATTACATAGAGAATCAATTGAGTATGTTTCCACCTTAGACTATCATTTGACCTAATTGAACTCACTCATTAGTAGGTAGGTATGTTTTGCAGACCACTCATGTTAGAAGATGGTATTGGTAGCCTTTTGACTTTGGAGTATAAGTTCCTGGGGATGTATTTTGTATTCTGATTTATAAAAACTGTTCTTATCCCATCTCCCTTGGCTTGCCTCTTTTTTTCACTCTTTCTGGTACCATCCTAATACCTAGTTTAACAGTTTTTAGAAACTCGGCTGCTGTGGAGAAATTAAAATAAGACAACTTATTGGATGATTGGTCTTCTGTAGGATAAGGAACATGGGTTGCTCAGCCCTCAATAAAATGAAGGGAAGAGATTTCTCTGGAAATTCCCTTTCCCCAGCTCCCGTGATTTTACTTTCATGTATTCTTTTCTTTTGCAATATACTCAGATCCTCCATATCTCTGTTACCATATTGTTTCACAAATCAGTTATTCAATTTTTTTGTTTCTCCTCTGTTCCTAAACCAGCCAATTTAATGAAAAGGTGTGTAGAGATCCTGGGGTTCTAAGAACTGCCTTTAGGAGTGAAACATCATTGTGGTGAGTGAGTGCTGCGGCAGCTGGGATCATACCTCAGCCCGCCCACACTTCCTGGCCATCCTACAGGGGCTATACTGCCCAAACCCCCTCTCTCTTCCTATCCCACTCAGCTTACATCCAGATCCCCACACCCCCTGTCTCCCTCCCTCCTTTGGGGCATAGCGCCTCCCTGCCCAACCTGCTAGGGCGCTGGGACCGAATCTGAACCAGGAGGACATAGGGGTGGCCAGTAGCTCCTTTGTTCCCATAGCCTGCCCGCAGCGAGCAGGGTGGGCCCTTTGTTCGCGAGCTAACCAAGCAGCGTGGAGTTTCGTTCTGGGCACGAGTGAAACATCATTGTGGAGAAACATCTCTGGGGAGTGACATCACTGGGAAGGTACATCAGTGGGCAAGAAGACCTGATCCTATAAAAG